ATCACTACAGTCCTACTGAAAAAATAAAATCTGTATACTTTTCTGAATGAAAAAGACTAACAAAAATGTTTATTTTAACAAATAATGAAAAACTATTCTTACACTGCGTGAGCCATTAGAGGATCGTAACTTTAAAGAAACTCTAGCTTCCTTAAGAAGAACATATACTTCTGTAGACATTTTTTTTCAATTTTGAATCACTTTCCGAAATCTTTTAACGTTTTTTTCAGACATCCTGTATAAAGGATTCCAAGTTCCATTATTCAAAGACAATAATCAACTTTTTTTAGTAACAACTTATATTTTTCATTTTTACTTATTTTGTGTTCGTTTTTAGCTTTTGATTGCAGCGTTGCCAAATTTTCGATATTTTATTGCAACATTTTTAAAATGCACACTTAATTTGTGTGAAATTCTTATTTTGTTTTTACTATTAACAATAGAAAAATAGAATTTTGCACACTGGTAAAGAAGGCATTATTCTATCATTTGTTGTTGATTTTACTTTCTTTTATCATACAAGTATTCAAATTTTATTCAGGCTGCGCCAGAACTCGCGCCCCAGAGAAAAATGTCATATAAGGTAAGATACCAAGAACATGGAAAAAATGTTTAAAAAAATTATCTATAAAAGTTTCGAAGTTATAGGAGTTTAAATTTTGCACTTTGACTCTATTTATTTCTGTTGGAAAAATAATTTTACAAGTTTTTTGCTATAGCCTATTAAAAGAGGAAACAAGGAAGCTGTGTACTAAATTGTAACGCTGTTTAATATTATTTTGTGGCTTTTATTGGCAAAATTTTTGTACCTTTACTAAATAATTGTAAAAAAACATATACAAGATCATCAGTATCATTAATTAGACATAAAAAATGTCAAATGTCAAAAAATATATGTTAAAATTTTTTGACAGATAGAATTTTTTAAACATTTTTTCCATGTTCCTGGTATCTTATCGTACTTGATTTTTCTCTGGGGCGCGAGTTCTGGCGCACCCTGTATATGCTTTTTATTGTAACACTTATTTAATTTTTGAAAATTTTATTCGTAATCTTAGTGGGAACAGCCTGTATAGCATCAAGTATTGCATCAAGTTATTTTACTCTTTATTTTTAATATTACAAATATAACCCACATAAAGAACACTCAATTTTTATATGAGTTGGTAATTTTGTTTATTGTTGTGTTTTCCCTCGAACAAAAAACCCCAAAAATCTAAATTAATAACGCAAACGTAAAAATTAATGGTACGAGAAGCTCAGAAATAAATCAAACGCACTTTCTGATGTCTCATGACCCAGTAAACATCATGTTTAGCGGCAAGTTCTTCGCACGAAGTATTTTCCTTTTCTTGCATTTTTCACGCGGATTATTTTTATTAGGTTGTATTAGAAGTTCTTTAAGCTCTTGGATAATGTCCGCGGAATTTATGTCTTCGACTATTACGAAAAAGTTTAATAAAAGCAGCGGTGATTGTGAGAAAATTGCCGCGAGCGCCGGAAAAATTTATCTAATTTTTGAAATTTTTCTATCAATCTGGGAGATAATCGTTAGAGAACAAAATTTCTCCTTAATTATTATAGTCGGAAATGCGTCCGAAAATAAAAATTTCATTTGCAATTTCAGCTGACTGAAACAATAATGCACACTTTCATGAATTAAGGCGCTTTCATTTTAGCGATGATGTCAGAAGGAAAGTTTTATACAGACCAAATAAAAATACTCTCTTTCTACAGCAAACGAAACAAAACGCAACACTTTGTTCTTGACGATCAAATTACAATATGTATATCAGAGACTTGAAAGCAATATTTTTRTAGTACTTGTTTCAACTTGGTTCTTTTCATTGTTGTTTTTCGAATAACTGAAATATTTACAAGGTATGCCTTGTGCTAGTGTAGTTGGAGTCTGATAAATAAATAATGAATAAATGGAAATGTAGCACTGGGGGCAGCAAGTCTTGCCTCCAGGCCCAAAATCGCGACTTAAAATTATGCAGAGTCATTAAATTGAACGTCGCTCAGGCACAAACTACATTTTTTGGGAACAAATTAAATGCACAGTAAAATCAATAAATGAATGAATTAATTTAATCAGGAGCACAGCAGTGCAAAGAGTAGCGTACGCTGATTAGACTGATTACCATTTGTGCTCAGTTTCCAGCCCTTGCTAAAATCATTCTTGCGCAGAGGCCCTTGCTAATACATATACCACCCTCCAACAATAATAAATATTCAGTTATATAAAAATAAGTACCAATAATAAATAACATTCTTGCACAGGGGCCATACATTCTTATGTAACTAGACTGAAAATTTTTTAAATTTTATGTTTGTTAACTAATTTTGATAATTTTGATTAAAGTTACTGATCAATTTTTTACTTTGCAAAAATTAATCAAAATTGAATTATTTACTTATCGTTTTTTTTTGTACATTTGTATGTCTTAAAAATTTTTGTGTATGAAGTAGGAAGTTTTTGTGTAAAAAAATTGTTTGTTCGTTAATGATCCAATTATTGTTTAAATTAATCTTATTTTTTATTTAAATTTTGTTAAATGAAATTTCCTGAGGCAGAATAATCTTCTCGAATGATTACCGTAGATTTTGTGCCTCTTTGGTGGTCGATCGATCGGTTTTTAATGACTTTGTAGTCGAGGAAAACGACCAAAAACACAACTTTATTAGAATTCGTTAACATTAGCTCCATGACAGTTACGAGTTTCTTAACATCACCTTTCCGCCAAACTACCTATTTGATCGATCAGATTATCTGATTGGTCAAAGCATTAATTTTCCATTTTGCTGACTACCTTCAAACTAAAATAAACAAGTTAATTACGTTTCGTGACTCGTTTTTGTAATTAATTTGCACAGATTATTAATTTATTTAAAACTGAATTAAACAGCGTTATGTACATGATCTCGTGATTTAATTAGAAGCGATCTGACTTGATAAGCGGTGGCAAAAAGGCTGATATTTGAGCTGATTAACGATCTGTGATAAGAGATAGCAAATTAGTGCTCCGGTTTTGGTTCGAAACAATCGGTTGAGCATAAGGAGAGAGTTTGGTTGTTGCAAATTAGGTTTTCACTAATGATCTCGTTTTTTGGCTGATAAGGAGAAGGAGGTGAGAAAAACTAGCGACGCCGTGCCGTCTGTGGTGCGTTATGTGGAGTAATAATTCATATCTCGGCGTAACAAGGTCGGAATGTGCAAGACATCCRTTTGCTGCTAATGACTTTTAAGGTCGAAGTAGAAATCAATGTTTGCATTTGTAATGCGAACGAGAAAGGTGTGCATTTTTGGAAATTGTAATTTTTTGAAACCGAATTAACGAAGTTTGTGGTGTTTGAGGCAAGATTTGATGACCTCAAAAGCCATTAATGGATCGCAGAAATGATGACAAGAATTACCAAACAATTTGTTGACAGTAATGTTAATTTATAATAAAAAGCTTAATTTGTTAATTCTATAATTAAATTGGCTTATTAAATGTGAAATATCTAAATATTTTTGAAATTAAGTTGGCAACACTGAATAATGTAGCGGGGGAAAACGAGAGACTTGTAAATTTTTATAGAAAATTAAAAGTTGTTATATTATTGCTTTTAAGTAATTTATTAAGCTTAAATTCCAATATTACATAATGTGCATGTGGAGTTTTCGCTCTTCAAATTCTGGTAAACCCTGAAAAAAAAAATATTTGAACTTAAATTATAATAGAAAAAATATTAACGCACTTTCAAATCAGTTTTTATTCTGGTTGTTGTCCCTGTCCTTGTCCCTGTCCTTGTCCTGATTGTCCTTGTGCATAAGCAGTCATAATAAGGCTGCTTAAAACTATAACAGCAACAGTAGCAACCTGTAATTATTTGCATTATTCTATTAATTTTGACAAAAACAGAATAATATAGCTAGTAAGACAACTAGAGTTTTATAGACAGTTTAAATATCGAGGTCGTAGTTTAATAGGCAGAGATTTTTAAACTATACAGGGTGCGCCAGAACTCGCGCCCCAGAGAAAAATTAAAAAAAAAATTATCTATAAAAGTTTCGAAGTTATGAGAGTTTAAATTTTGCACTTTGACTCTATTTATTTCTGTTGGAAAAATAATTTTCCAAGTTTTACTAAATTCAGAAATAATTATAAAAAAGTATGTCAAAATAATGTCAAAAAATAATAAATAAAAAATAATAAATTAATGGCAAAAAATATGCATGCGTATTTTAACGACGACATAAGAGTTAAATAGAAACAGTATAAGATGTTAGTGTTTCAAAAAATAATTTATTATAATAAAAAATAGTTACTTACTTTAAAGTATTTCAACATGGTTGTAGTGTTTCAGAATRTTATCTGCATCAGTGTGTAGTTTTTGTTTTCCTTATATACCCTGCAATTAGCATTTTGGGTTGATAACAATTTAAAAAAATACGACCTTATTTATAAAAAAATAAATATTTATAGGATGAGTCATATTTAGGTTTTATTTTTACCATCTAGCTTATTTAAGCTAAAAGAATGCAATTAACTCAATATACCTTACCACACCAAATGCTACTTAAAAAGATATAKAGTATTAATGAAAACGTCTTATAAATTATAAGGTTTCGATTAATTTGAATATACACAACAGTAAACACAAAATTGAAAAACAAAAATAACAAAATAAAAAATAGAGAAATCTTAAACTATAGCAAATGTTCGAAATGATCTTTTTCAGSCTTGTACGAGTAATTAAATCTTTTGGTAGCTATTTTAACATTGTTTATTTTAATACCGCATTACTTTCAAAAATATTTGTTACATTTGACAGTAGTGGAAATAATTATACATTTTGCTCATGAATATAGTTATTTATCTCGAAACCATCATAAACCTGCTTTTTTACAAATTYGATGTTCTTATAAGATTATAGCAATACKTAAAAAAATGTTTTGTAATTATYTTTATTTTTCGATTTTGAAATGGTTTTTACTTCAAAACATATAAAAATGTTTTATGTATAAATTATCATATTGAAATGCAAAATTTTGGGTGTGTGTGAATTTTAAACGGTTTTTGCATTTCTAAAGAGGAGAAAAACTAAACGCATTCTCACAAAATTTATATTGACAAATAACATTTCACAGCTTTCGAGATAATAAATTTTCTCGGTAATGTSATACTAGATTCATCAATAAAAAAACTTTACAATTTTCTACATATAATCATTCCGAAATACGTCTAAAAAATGGTAATAACTAAAAAACATGATCAAAACTCGTAAACATAAACATATCTTCATCACAACACGTGTTTCGACCAAAAGGTGATCTTCCTCGGGTGAAGAAGCAATATTTTAGTTATATTTCTTTAGCAACTTTTGGTTTTGTGTAATATTTTTTTCTTTAATTTTTTTTATGAAATATACAGGTGCGCCAGAACTCGCGCCCCAGAAAAGAATTTCAAGGTAAGGTAAAATACCAGGAACATGGTAAACATGTTTAAAAAATTCTACCTGTCAAAAAATTTTGACACTTATTTTTTGACATTTGTCATTTTTTATGTCTATTTAATGATACTGATGATCTTGTATATTTTTTACAATTATTTAGTACAGGTACAAAAATTTTTGCCAATAAAAGCCATAAATAACATTGAACAGAGTTACAATTTAGGATACAACTTCCTTGTTTCCTCTTTTAATAGCCCATAGCAAAAAATTTTTGAAAATTATTTTTCCAACAGAAATAAATAGTGTCAAAGTGCAAAATTTATGAGGGTCATAACTTCGAAATTTTTATAGATATTTTTTTTTACATTTTATCTATGATCCTGGTGTCTTAAATTATATGGCATTTTTTTTAATGAAAATCACCAAATCAAAATTTTGGCAAAAAAATTGGTAGCAGCTTATCTTCATAGCCACAAATTTTGTTTTTTTTTTGTGTTTGTTCCCAGAAATTTTGTTAAAAAATTATGATTGTGTTTTCATGTTGTGATGTTGTCAAAATTTTGACTTTTATGAATCTTGTGTGCTTGTTTGCTTTTTGTAAGCATTTGTAATCGAATATCTGAGTCTTTATTGCTTTTAAGTAATTTATYAAGCACAAATTCCAATTTTACATGATGCAAAGTTTGCTCTCTCGTTTTAGTTGCTTCCACTATTCATCTTGCTGTCCTTGTCCTTGCTGTCCTTGATCTTGTGTATAAGCACTCATAAGAGTCATAACAACAGCAACAGCAGCAATAATACGAAATATTATTTAATTTAGAGATATTAATTAAAAAAATATTAAATAAGTAGTGTAAATAGAAGTAAGTGTAAATATTACTTCTTCAAATATTKTTTGTGTTGCATCTTTAGTGTTTGTCCCTCAGGATAACTAAACTTTTATAATAATTAACTTTGTATTAGCAGTCATTCTTTTATAAAAAAAATACAATAATAAAAGAGAGAAAGTATATTGCAGATAGAAATGTTGAATAAATCAATTGTAAATCGAACAAAACTGAAAGTCTGTCAGAATTAATTTATGAAAAATTGTAGACAACATGAAATGTTAAAAGTGAAAATTGAACAATGAAAAGTAATGGATATTTCCGTTAAACAGCAAGTATAATGTATACAGTTTGCAGWATCTTAAAACAAAGAAAACAACTAAACATAAAGTGTACCCTCAGCGAAATGAAAATGCTTCAACTTGAATTTATCATTACTGAAAAATTGCTTCCGATGCGTCATAAATATTCAAAGATTTTATCAAATTTATTCGCTCGAGCAAAATCAAGTTTAGCAAACAGACAAAACAGCTTTGCATAAATAATTTTTMACTAAACAAATAAAYTCYCTAATTAGTTTAGAAGCATCAAACCTCGATAAATGYGAAGTTTTCAAGYTGGTTAACGTGACTAGTAATTACCTGCCCACTGTTTATGACYTTTCTGGCACGRAACGTGCACTCAAGTTATTGWTATTCAGAGTACAACTAAATGAAGTCATTAAAAAATCCAATAAAAAATTAAAAACAAGCAAGGTAATAAAAAGAAGTTTCTTATTTTTTGAGAATGTTTGTGTAAAGTTGCGGTAAAAGTTTTTTAAAAACAATTTTTGTACAGAGTGTCCCAGAAGAGACTTCTTCATTGTTCCAACAAATATGCAAAATTAAACTGCCAAATTGTATTTTTTTACATAAATAAATGTCTAAGCTCAGAACATACTTACTTGACGTTTAAAACAAATAAAATTTGAATTATTCTGAGTCTTTATTAATTTTTGTGACACTCTGTAGATACCCAAATCTAAATTTTTTACCTAAACTGACAAWGACCATTTGTGAAGCAAATAAATTTTGAATATTTTTTTAGCAAATAAAACTTGAATCATCTTGTACATTTGTTACCTAGGCATTTTTAAATGGAGCATTCCATAAATATACAGAGTGATCGAAATTTTAATTTAGATTGTAATTTTTTTTAGATCTAAACATAGTCAAAAACTAAACTTAGATCATAGTTGAAATTTTCAGCAAATAAAAATCATTCTGTATACTCCTATATACATATTATCTGAGAAATTTTTACCTGTGATACTCTGTATTCTCTCAGAATTTATTTATAATTATACTTTTTTATAAACATACATAAAAACTGAACTCAAATCATAACAGAAATTTTTAAGAAATAAAATTTTAATCATTCTGTATGCTTATTAATTGAGAAATTCTTAGCTAAGATGATACTCTGTGATACAGGTGGTCCAAATTTTATTTATGCCAAACTTTCAGAATTAACTGTTATATCTTTTTATTATTTTTTGAAGTTTGAATGTTGTTGGAAAAAATATGTGGTAGTTATTGCAAAATGTTTTCCATTTTTTCCAATTCCAAGCTAAGATGATACTCTGTKGGTGGATATACAGGTGGTCCAAATTTTATTTATGCCAAACTTTCAAAATTAAAAGTTATATTTTTTCATGATTTTTTAACTTGAATGTTGTTGGAAAAAAATATGTGGTAGTCATTGCAAAATTTTCCATTTTTTCCAATTCCAAGCTAAGATGATACTCTGTGGGTGGATATACAGGTGGTCCAAATTTTATTTATGCCAAACTTTCAGAATTAAAAGTTATATTTTTTCATGATTTTTGAAGTTTGAATGTTGTTGGAAAAAATATGTGGTAGTCATTGCAAAATTTTTCGTTTTTTTCAATTCCAAGCTAAGATGATACTCTGTGGGTGGATATACAGGTGGTCCAAATTTTATTTACGCCAAA